TGCTAATCGCGATATAACAACTTGCGCATCGAGAAGATTTCCCGTAATGACATCCCGGCTAATATTGACTTAACTATTAATTAATTCTACGGTGACAACGCGTGACGCCAGTCGATGACATGCGAAAGTTAGAAAACGAGACAACGACACGCAAATGTTAGACGTCAGACGGTAATCTAAAAAGAAAGGAAACATCAAAAGAGTAAGTTTTAAGCAAGACGGATTGACAGTTTCAGGTCGCGCGATACGATCTTTTCATGTTAAAATGACATAAAATTACTCTAATGATAATAAACTTGAATCTTATTAATGAGAATCAATTTCAATTTCTTTCCATGATGATAATTGTCAACAAGTTGTACCTTCCTTTCACCGTGATGTCTAATTATGGAAATGTTTTTCTCAAAATTGCGTCACGTATCTTACCTGCACATTTGATTCTAATCAATGTGCAAAGTCTGAAAAATTAATTATTTCGCATCATATTCATTATGCTATTAACAACTTTGTATTTGTTTCGACAAAATTTTCAACAACAAACTTCTCATAAGTCGCGTTAAATGACGCATTCAAATATACACCTATCTTTTAACGCCTATCTTCCAACAAGGATCCAATTTTCTACATGCGTGGCCGAGAAGAAGTTTGATCCACGCGATGGACCGCATATGATAACATCGCGAACAAGAATGATGATAATTATCGGAATCATTAATAGATCGTTAGAAGGGATTTCATTCAGATGATGAAACGTTCTCGAAGGAACGTAACGCTCATTCTTTTTTTTTTTTTATGCCTTCGAGACGTTCCCTTTTTCGCTGGTACTTCTGCCCACTGGAACGGAAGCTGCCCTGTGGTTGTTACGCAATTAACAGACGTGGAATTGACAGACAATTATCCCAATGTAGATATAATGATAGTGTCTCGCAGCTCTTCGTTCCTCAGCGATAAAGATACATTTCTTCCTCACATTTAATCACACGTACGCAGATATTTTTAGATCAATCTTTCAAGTCCATTTCCTTCCCTTCATGTAATATGCAGGTTTGCAATTTATTCTCACATCGAGCATCGCAATCTTAAGACAAGTACGATTGACTAACAGCGCCGTTTGTTACAAACAAGTACAGAATGCGCACCGGCGTTGTTTTATCTAAAAATTCACATTACGATAACTGGAGCGCGAACGGAAGCCATTCATAGGTTTTGTAACTGCCTCCAGGGCCGCCGTATGTGGCTGGTACCAGCCTGGGTTTGTTATCGTGTCCAGCCGTGGAGAACGAGAAGCACCTTCGATTTAACCCTAATAAGATCGATGGATCCCGCGAGACCGTCCGATATGGAGTAAACGTGCTTGCTTACACATGTATGCCAATTGTACGTATGTACGTATATCGACCCGTTCCATCGAGTATAAGAAAACGAAAGAGTAGGAAAGAGAAAATACGAGAGAAGGAGAGAGACGGAGCAAACCCACCAGGAATCAGATCCGTGAATTAATCTCTCTTTATTCCACAACGACAACATTTCGTTAAATGTTCCATCATATAACGCTGCTTTTCGCTGATCCTTCCTTTAATTATGCAACGTTGTGAACTACTTACTGACGAATAATGACGGACAAATATCGGATCGTTTTCGTTCCCTTCGTCAGGACAGAACGGGATTGTTTCTCAAACATGCGCAAGCACCTTTCGCGAGGAATAATTCGACAGTGTTTCAGATTTCGCGTGATACAGCGAGATACGCCATAAAATTGACGGCCACGCTTAATAATCACGCAATTCCTCGATCACCGTTTCATTCCCGTTTATGGCACGCGTTGCAACATGCGTTTCCCTCCCCTCTAACGTACAACAATGAGTTTAATGCTTTCGTACATTGACAATAAAGCGTGCAGCGTGTGGATTTTTTTTTTTTTTTTTTTTTTTTTTAATCAAATTGTCTACCGTGATATGGAACCCGCAACAAATATGCGAGATAGCTACGCTGTCCTTTTCCGACGGTGCTCTACGGCCACCAGTTCGAGCCTCGTTAACGGAAAATCACGCCTGTGTGCGTATCCAAGGCTGAGGGAACTAATTAGCCATAACTTTCCGTAAATGGATTTTAGCGCGCGATACCGCCGGCTTTATTGCACCTCGGTCGCGCTTCTCACCCAAGAAAGCCGGTGGAAACGTATCGGGATCCGCGTCCGGTCAGCAGATTGTGACGAATATTTGACACTGTTATGAACTTAATTATTAACTCAATATTCTTGAGTGAGGTTTTATCGTCCCGAACCTCCTCGTTCTCTTTCCGAGCATCAGTGGAATAGATGATAAGCACAAACGCATGGCTTGATCGATCGTAGCGTATACTTTCCCACGTTACGATTACGGAATATAATTTGCTCTAGAATGGTAATGCGCACTCGGCCGATGTGTTGACCTTATTATTTTTCTTTTTATCTGGGTTATAGACTTTGCGACAATTGTTGATAAAGTTAAATAAAATTTATAATCAATTATCTATGATCTGTTATTGTCTTATATAAACAATGTTATTGTCTTATATAATTTGCCGAAGAATATGAATTAGTGATTCAGAGTTCGTTCATAAATTAGGTTCAACTTTTAATGTACAAAATGATTAATATTGTCTTGATATCGCTCGATATATTTTATATTTTCGAGCTGTAAAAACATTATTCTAATTACACGTTCATTTATCTGTTATAAAGTACATTTATACCAAAGTGCTTACGATCTGTAATTTGATCAGTATTTACATTGATAAGTAAGTCGATAACGAGAACAGAATTTCATTTTATATCTAATTACTGCGGGTGTGAAAGTGCTCCCAGTGTGCGTGCAACCAACAATACGTTACCGATTAGATTCGTTTGTCCTTTTTTTCTTCTGAACTCTCCGTCAATGCGAGTACGTAGTTAAAATTGCTAGCCTTGTCAACCGTATCGCATTTATTCATTCCGGATATTAATGCACGCAAATGCGCGAAAAGAATAACTCGTGGAAACATCGACCATGATATCAATGAACTCGCTGCATGAGACTAGTACGCGCAATTACGGTAATTAGATTTTACTTTAGTCGTTTTAACAACTCGCGCTTCTTATCTACCCGTCGCGAAATTACGCGTTGTAAAGACATAATAGAAAAAGGTGATCCAATAATATCTCTCCTGGCAAGAGTGTTTATCTATTCGTCACGGTGTTTGGTGTAATGAACGGTCCTGACGGCGATACATTACAATTATAAAGTTTGCGCGTTGATAAAACCGCCATAATGCAATGAGCAAGTTTTCACTTAAAAAAGATGTTATCGTGTAGAGCGAGATATTTAACCGACAACATACGGAAATGTGTATTACTGCAGAATGTTAACCTGATAATTCATAGATACGCGCAAATGTTATGACAATTTGTAATTCTGGAATACAAATCGCAGTGGGATATAATTTTAATAATTTAAAGATACAAAGAGTGTAAGTCGTATATAATTATATATATATATATATATATATGTGTATGTATATAAAATATGTGATGCATAACGCAAAGATAAATGTATTTATCAATTATATAAATTTATCGATCAAATTTTTGCGCAACAAACAGCGAGTCTTGGATCCGCCTAGAAAATTGTTACTCGAGTACCAGGTGAGAAATGGCTACACTTGATTTATGAGGCAGAGAGCGGCTATTTCTCCGACTGCTTAACTATTGTTTCCTGACAATAAGCGTATATCAGATATGAATGACACGAAGAAACGTTCTCTATCATTCATCAAGCTGGCACTCGGCCGGGAAGTAAAGTAATTACACGTTTTCCTGTGTCACTTGAAAGGACCATCTATCTGCGCGATGCTGCAAAAACGTGGCAATAATACCGACATACTTCTTTCAAAAAGCAGATAATTAACTGTCCGATCAATAGCATAAGGTACCGATGATACATAGCAGTTCGTTAAAAATAAGTTTTACACAGTCGAATCGTCCATGTGTACAATCGTGTACTTTTAAAATTCTTCGATGATAAATCATATTTTACTGATAAATACGCGCAAATATATGTTACTTAAATTAAATCGATAAGATCTTAAATTATTTGTTATATTACAAAGATACGATTCCATACATATACAACGTCGAAAAACTATTTCATTATGAATTATAAGATTATTCTTTCACGCTTCCAATTTATATATTTATATAGTTGCACCATTTTCGCTTACCAAGGCATAATTAATGTGATGTATGTATGCTATATATGTTTCTCTAATTAATTATTATTTGAAAAACGTGGCAGTCGATTTCACGAATGAGCAGTGTATTACACGTCAATCGTGACAGTAGTAAATTGCAGTCGTTTTACAAACGCTTTCTCACACAATGGCGAGAAACATTTTCTCCCGGTGTTTGAATATTTCTTCTCTGACTAAGAAATTTATACATTCGGCATTTACAGCCATTATACGCTCTTAATGAGAGATTCTATTCACGCGGATTAGGCAATTCTACTCGAACAATGAATGCGTAAAACTCATTTCGCCATTTGAAAAAACATTCTGCAATGTATTTCTTCGAATATTAATACGCAAATTTCTGCGCTGGATAAACAATGGTAATAAATTTTGATTAATCATATTATTATACGGTATATTTGCCGTTACATTCCCATACGAAAGACTATATAAAATACGCGGAATTTTGATGAGATCATAATGCGGATTGTCTGTCATATTTCAACGACGATGTAAATCGCATCGTTTCTGCTATGACAAATCGAAGCTTCGTTGTAGTGACGCGTTACATAGGCGATTGCCTAAAGATTTCATTATAACGTATCTCGACAAATAATTTTCCCAAATAACTTTTAACATATAAATTCACCTTGCGATGAAATGCCATTATGCTACAGACATGAAGCAAAAAGAAAACAAATTTGCATAGCGTAGTACACGAATATGATATCGTTCAAACAATAATGATAACTTACCCGAGGAAGGCCTGTCCGAATATCTGGTGCAGTAGACCCACGCTGGCCACAACATCTTTCCAGGATCGGTTGTTCCAGTCTGGTTGGACGTCGTGTTCCCAGTCGAAACACTGGTAGGGGAGGCGTTGGTCGTTGTCGTTTCCGAGCTGCTCCTCTCAGAAGTGTCGGAGGACGATTCTAGGAAGTCCTTCGTTAGATCGATCGGTCTTGAAGACACTTTTTTAGGCCGGGACTTCTTCAGAGAGATAGGATCCGTGATTCTCCTACCAAAGTCCGCTTTTAAAATATTATCTATACTGAACTTTAGACCCGCCTGATGCTGTAAGTTGTTGTTGTTGTTGTTGTTATTGTTGTTGTGATGATTGCCGTTATTGCTGATACTATTTTGCACGCCATTCGTGGAGGGCAGAGTACGCCCGTTCTCCTCCCTAGCGCTTGGCGATGCCGGACTCCCGGAATCCCGTTGCAGAAGCTTGCTGACCGACAGCCGGTGCTGGTGCACCGAATTCGCCGGTACGTGCTGTACCTGCGAGCCCTGATGCAGATGCGTGTGGGCGTTCGCGTGATGTAGATGCTGACTGTGATGCGGTATCAACGAGGTAGTCTCCCGCGGATCTCTGCAAGCAGCGGGATGGAGAACAGGCGTCGTTGCTTGAAGCCCGGTGACCGTCATGGCCGACGGTGGTGACAACGAGAGTCTCGTTACTAGAGGAACGCTTATTGGTGTACGATGTAACCTTTCTACAGTTGGATAAACGATTTCGTGACCTAGGCCGTGCTGAACTCGCGCCGTGTAGTCGGAAATATCAGGTTCCCTAGAAGAATATCGAGTAAGAAGATGTTGCTGATGACTGGATTGGTATCTAGGTACGATAGCCTCTTGTATAGCTTCCGGTCGACCTGGAGACGAGGCGGTAGCCGAGGAGGAAGCCGGAGATCTGACGGAAGACGCCGTAGGGGACGATGGTGGTTGACTGTAACCAGGTGGACTTGGTGCTGGAACGTGATTATTGGATGTACGCTGATAATACAGATCATTGCAGCTGGCGGAGCTGGAAGGCGATGGCGTCGCCGACGTTCTCGTGTTTTCCTCGTCACGGAACTCGCCCCGGCTACTTGCGGATTCCTGATCGTACCTCATAGAGCCGCATACACGCACACCAACCACGCTAGTTGGCGTCGGTTCGCTGCCAACGCTCAACACTTCGCTCGTATCGCTCTCACAATCACTGTCCGCGTTGTTACATTCTGTTCCCCGCGTCTGATCCCGTTTCTCCGCGTCCTCCTGGTCATGATCCAGTCGCGAGATCAGGTGGTTCGACCTGATCTCTGGATCCGATGAGTCCAGACCCATTGGTGCCTCCGGGAGTGTACTCGACATTTTTTACCCGAAGAAACACCCACCTCACACAATGACAAGCTTCGTTTTCTTGATCCGATCACAACGGAATTTTTGTAGACCGTGTTTTCATGATGCCTTCTTCTCTCCGTAACGTTTCTTCAAGAGTTAATCATAATCCTCTTTCAATACTTAATATCATTTTTAATGATATCTTACGGAAATGATCCGTCTAGCACTGATAAATGTCATTTTCATATTTGTATATATCTTTATCATTATCCGTTTGAGTTTCACAATTCTTTTCAACATACATGATTGATTAACAAGATTACAATCTAACGATAGAATAATCCTTCTACTAGAAGAATTTCTCTTCACACTTTTGACATTTACTTCGACCTCTTGCAAGTTTTATACCGGCTAAATAGTAACCTCACTCGGTTTCATTCCGACGGATAGTTTCGCGGACTGTTTCAGTCAATATTTATACTTTATCTCACTTTCATTTTCGATGTATCCCTCGTCGTAAGTTTTTTGACGATGTTTACACCATAAATTACTTTGAATCAGTTTGTCGCTCATCTACAATACAGATGATCTTAATTAGAATTCCAATCACGGTGGTTCTTACAAAGCGCAGCCCTTCAAAGCTTCGCTGTAGTAGTCTAACACAATGCACTTTCACATGTTTTCGGATCTTCGATCGGTTAGACGTTCCTTAGGTGCCATACAAAGATCACTGACGTTCTCAAAGCGACGGCAATACATTGGATGCGTCTCCGTTGTACTAGTTAGTCCACGATCAGGACGAAAATAGCGTCTGTGACAAAAGTAAGAACGTCAGAGTCAGTGAATTGCTCCGAGTAGATCGCGCCGATGAAAACGTGGAGTCCTTCGCGGCGCTGGTAGACGCGGGTGTAGTTCGACGAAGCCGTAGTGCGACGCCGTGAAACCGGACCGGGCCTGGTTGTCCAGTTGGTTGCCGCGGAACGTCTGCGGCGAGGAAGCGGCGGGAGGGCCCGCGATGGGCGTTTCTGGGTGTAGACCTGTACGCGTACACGCCTCCCAAGGTGACCCCGAAGGGACGAGGACGCGGGTGAGGGACATGATCGCTCGACATCTGGTGGCTGACACGCGAACATGCTGCAATGAAACGCCCTAACTCTCCCCACTCGGACGAACCGACGTCTCGTGGGTTCGCCTCATAGGTGGTCACCACGTCCCACTTCTTGCCGTGATCGGTGGCATCACCCTACCTCGCGCCACGTCTAGAAGGCTATCCTTTTCCTACGCGCTCACCTCACTCGGTCGATCCCCACCCAGCGTTGTTGGGTAGCTGAGGTCTATTGGAGCGGGCTCGCAGCCGTCTCTCCCTCTCTCTTTATTCGCGGACTTTATTCCGTCGCGACTCGCGGCGTGTACCCTGCGTTTCTTCCGAGTTCTGTATCTGCCCATAGGTGATACAGCTCGCCGCACTATTCTGTCTTTGTCGACTCGTTTATTATCGGTGTCTGTTCCTCTTGCTTTTATCCCCCACCGTTTACTTCGCCAGTTGCTTCTCTCGTTATTCTCTTCATTTCCGTCTGTTTCGCCTTGTAGGTACGTTTTACGCGTGCTCTTTTTGATTCCTCTAGTTGCTCATATATGATTTAACACTTAGCCTCTACTATGCTTAAAACAGATGATATCGTTGCATTTATCTTGTTTAGTTATATGAACGTTCTACACATTTTCAGGTCTGTTGAACTTGCTCCGACTTTATTAGTTTCTTTCATCTTCACATTTATGCTCTTCCACGTTATCTTTCGCTCGTTACTTTTTACAAACGAGATAAAAATATATATACTCGCCAGAAATAAATTTTTACTCAAGATGCTATCGAAACTATAAATCAGGTGAAATCGTAGACTTGGATCTAGATGTGTCTATATAATGAGATTCTCTCATAATTACGGGAAAGAAGAACTGAATGAGGAACTGAAGTTAAGAGAGCAGCTCTCGCGTGACATGGAAATGCAAAGCAGATAAAGGCCGCGAATCATCGGTAGCGATGGAATTACTCGACTATCGATTCTCCATGATGCATTTCATTCTCTTGGAGAAGGTAGCGTGCATTCAGCTCGTGAATCATGTATTCATTTTTCGCTCGACCGGTGAGGAGCTTGAGCGCGCGTCAACATGATCCCGAAGCGATCGTTAAAGCTCATTATTAGTCGATCTTCATGCGGATAAGGATGTAACGAAGGTAAAAACCTATCAGCTTGTAAATTCCGATCTCGCAGATTTTGTATACGCTGGAAGATTAATTCTATGTGTGTGCCACTCGGCAGTCAATATTACCATCTGTTCGTGTAATCAATTTCTACATTAGTATAATATTCTTAATATTATGAATATTTAATTATTACAAAATATTTTTTAAATAAGAGTGGACATCTTATTTCTTATTAAAAAACTAACAAACTGTTCAAATTGACTTCTTCGACAACTATTAAAAGTAATATATTTAAAACAAATTAAACTAAATTAATATCTACATATAATACGTATCTATCTGGATGTACTGTAAAGAAAACAAACCAATTTAAGCGAATTCTGTTAATCTCAAGCCAACACACAAATAAAAATCTGCTGATGTATGCCATCGTGTAAGCTACTATAATTGCATATTATTAGCGACACATTAACAACTCGTAAATTTCAATGCGAATCCGACAATCATCGAGAAGTAAGATCGTCACAGAGTTTATAAATTTTTCCCATCGTATTATTCCCATTATATTATGTCGCATTAGTTGCGATAATAAAATTATATTTATTCTTTATCATAAACGATATTTCTTTCGCTTTGGTTTTTGTCTCACTGAAAAATTGAAATATAAAATAAGATTCTAAATGAAATTACATGTGCATATTTTTCCTGACATACGTTCGTTTTGGAATATATTTCACGTGTACGATATACGATACGCATTTGCGTGTTTACTGCTTTGTCCATCCTTTGCAATCATTTTTCATTCTTTCTATTACAGTTTTCAACAAACATACGATGATCTCGAAAGGTGTAGTTAAACGGAGATCGAGGGGATGAAGAGAATGCGTTGTAATTCAGGTAAAATTGACGAAAGGGTGGTATTCGAGCAAGATAAAAGAATCGAGAACGTGGTAGTTTCGCCGGAGCGTACGAAGTAATGATGGAAAAAAGACGTCTGTTAACAGCCGCGATCGCGCAGAATTAAGGACGATATCCTCGCTCGCAGCATGTACTTCAGCCTCGAACTCGTTACCGTCGGCTGGCTTCGTAAATTTCGTTAACGCGGGCTACCCTGCAATGCCCTGCATTCCCGCCTTAACGAGCGTCCACACGCTCGTTAGTATCCCTAAGGCCTTCGCTTAGGTACACCCTGTAAGTTAGCCGGGACTTACTGCGCCCGCTAATTCGTAAGCGGCTACTCTCATTCGTCGAGAGGATGCAGTTCGCTCTCGTGGAACAAGGTGATGCATCCTTCCCCAGGGACGGATTCGCAATGCCCGTTGCGTGCAAATCCACGTCTTCGTGGATGGAAAGCGTCTCATTTCGTGCGCGGATCCGCTGTTTTCATTACTTTGAATCAATTAAGCGACGTTGATATTTTCCAAGACAATACCTTGATCGTTCAATCCCTTGATTAGTCCTTTTTTACTAAACGATTGGAATTAGAAGGTTAGTAGAAAATTAATATTCTCAATCGACGAAATAAAAATATTTTCGTAAATTATTTTGCAGATATTATACAATCTGGTAATCGTCGGTTCAAATAAAAATCACGGTTTTATTTTAATTTAGGCATCCGTTTTTATAATGATGTTAAAGCCGCTTCATGTTTCTCGAATATATAGAGCGATTTTTTTTTTATACTTCTTTTATTTATATATTAGATAATTAGATTATATATTTTTTTTTATCATAACGCTGCAATCCAATGCCATGTAACACGCGCGGGCATCCTTCATAGGAGTGAATCAATCTGCATAATTTACACCTTAACGCTCGAGTTGACTAATTTTACGCAGCTGATTTTTATCTGAACCCCAGATTTTATTTTAATTGTGGCAACCGTGTTATTTACGTTCCGTACAGATACGAGTCCGCTTAATGATACAATAATTTACACCGTGCGAAGTTAGTGATGCATAATAAGGGCTGGGAAATTCTTTTTAACGTGATTTACGACGTATCCGTGTGAAGCGCGTAATATGCGGCAAACTAAAATTCTTTCCGTGACATACAAAATTGCGCTGCACAAAGTCGATGCTGCCGCGGAATATCGCACATATAATTTTTCGTTTATTTTGATTTATGGCTCGGTTCGTGCAATTACAGAAGTCTTAATGTTCCAAATCAAGTATTGACGTGAGTATTTCTTTAACGAAAGAAATATTGAGACATCTTTTAGTTTAAAATTTGTTTATTCTACCTCTAATTTTTTATGTAAAAACATAAATATTGATATATATTCTGACACCTTTAAATATGCACGAAAGACTCGGAGTTACTTAACAAAAAGCTGCGTCCCTGTTACTGTGCGTACGTATCGATTTCTCGAATATCAAGCTACCCGCCAGCATTAGCATGGCAAAGAAGGCGCCAATTTGGCTCTGATAGCGGCCTGCCATAAGAAACAGGGAAGGACACTATTCTGTGCGTGTTTTTGTTTTAAGTTGTTCTTTTTTGCTTTTTATTATAGCTCGCACTGCCTACTTTTCTATTTAATACCGGTGATATGTCAGTGCACTTGTCATTCAGCAAGAGACCATTATTTTCTCTAAACCCACAAACATACATTATCGATACGACGTGATTGAGCTTAAAAATTGGCCACGTCACGAGAGACTTTGCTTACGCAATTAATTGAAGCAAACTTTGTTCAGATCTATAGATAGAATTCTTCCTTAATTAGTTCCCCTTCGCACATAGATTATGAAGAATTAAATCTTACAAATCATTAATCCGACTCGCCTGACAGGGTCAGAGGGAATCGGCCGTAGTGTAATTAAATTATTATTAATTGGACATTTAGATAGAAACGCGATGGACAAATTGCCCGTCGTTTGATAAGGCAGATACACGGAATTGCACCACATCGCAATAATGAACATCATTGCCCTCGCCATTGCGTCGCTCAAGACTATATACAGAGATAAATTACGGCGGAATTTACAATGGAGTCTTTATCAGATTTTGTTGGGTGCACGTCGCTCATTATTAGGAAACTTTTCTTCGACGAAGAATTCGTCCGACGAAATCGTCATTCATAGTTAAATAATCGCGATGTTGCAAATTGCCCCGGATCGCAATAATGCATCGCGCTGCAGGCGCTAAATTTCGTGGGATCACGCGAGAAGACTCGAGAGCTACATTCGCGAGGGAAATCACGGAGGTGCATCTATCAGACTTATCTGACGGGGAAGTACCTCTGGCAAATGCCTGACAATCTTATTTATGGCTTGCAACGAAAAACAGACAGCCGTGGTCAACGAAACGATTCGATTGGAAACGATATCGTTTAATCGATCGCATTGTCCGACGAAGGTAAAATATTTTTTTATAGAGTAAAGAGATGTGATAAGATAACGTGTTCATGGTCGATGATCACACCTTTTTTCAGGTTTAACAAGGAAATGATTGCTGAATAAATACGCTATATTAATTATTGAAATTTTACACTATAAAAACTTGTATATAAAGTTACAATAATTATAGTAAATAATTTTTGGATCTAATATTAAAGGTGTATATTTATATAAATGTAATGTTACAACTTGGAAATAAAAATATTATTAAATATTATTATTATTAAATATTATTTTATTATTAAATATTATTTTATTATATTATTTTTATTAGTAAATT